AGTATGGTGGGATGCCTTGGGTAGAAAGTCCAGTGGCATCTGCCCGGCAGTGGGAGAGAACTGTTGGCAGGGAGAGGCGCGAATCACATCAGGGGACTAGACGGTGGCCTCAGGGAGACACCCAGGATGGGCAGGGTGGAGTATTTGGGAGAAATGTGTGTTTGCAGATAATATTCCTATAAAATACTTACTTATATAAAATCCACTCATGGGTTGGCTGGTCTCCCAGTTGGTTAGAACGCAGTGTTATAACACCAGGGTCAAGGGTTCAGATCCCTGTATGGGCCAGCTGCCCCCAAATAGGTATATATAATCCATTTGTGCAGTTTTATAGGTCTCAGGTTATATAATCCTATGCATTGAGGGAAAAGCTTATGTTAGGTAGTGGTCATTAAAATGATGGCTTATCAGTGGAATTCAACTTTGAAATGTTATTATTGATACATATGAGTGTACTTTCTAGACTTTAAAACATCTTTTTAAAACATATTTGGCGATTTTAAGGTAATTGGAATATTTCTTTTGTCCGTTACCACTCTTGATTAAAATGAGGAGGAGGACAATATGTTTGAAAAAAATACCGTCCCGGATGGCACAAGACCTGGCTCCTAGCTCTGTGACTTTCAGCAAGGTCACTTCACTGCTCTGGGGATCTTAAAAGGATGAGGTGCTTTCATTTGTTAAAACATTCTTTGCTTTGTTTTTGGAGGGGCTGCTTTTTCCTTTTCAGCTCCAATAGTCCCTGATTTTAATTACTACCCTCACTTCCTTTTGTGCTGGGTGAAAAGACAGCCCCAAGGCATTCAGAAAAAATTCCATGCCCTAGAGCTCCTGAGCCACTGAGAACTTAATGAGCCAGGGAGAGAGAGAACTCACATCTTTTTGAAATGACAAGTAAAAGCATGCTACATTGATTAGGGTTGTTTTTTTTTTTTTTAATATATTAACATACTCTTTTATTTAGCTAAGGTATACATAAAAGGAAGCTGGAGTGACGGTTAAGAGCTCTGGGTTTGGAGTCACAGTTACAGGTTTTAAGTCCTGGTTCTACCATTTACTTAGCTGAGACACCATGAGACAAGTAATTTAATCTCCCTGAGCTTCAGTTTCCTCCTCTGTATAATGAGGATAGTAATACTTATTTCTCAGGATAGTAATGAAGATTGAATATGGTAATGTATATATAAAAAAAAAAATCTTAGCACACTCTCAAAAATCCTAGCACAGTGAGCTGACTGTAATAGTAGCTATCGCTACCATGGGCATTTCCTTGAACCACATCTGTATGCATTTGGAAGAACCATGGTAATATTTACTTTGCAAAAACATGCTCTTTTGATTCTATTATAAGTTTCATCACACTTCACTATAATTATTATTTGCTTAATGTCTATTCCCACTAAACTATAAGATCCATGGGAACAGGGCTGTCTCTCTTGTCCACCTTGAGCTTATGATTAGCACAATACCAGGCATGTCAGTTTTGTGGAGGTGACCAGGGAAGGCCACACCAGCTTCCCACAGGTGGCAAGTCAAGTCAGAATGGGGGTTTGGGTACAAGGAAGACAAAAATAGGAGGTGAAAATAAAAGGTGTTCCTTAATACATTAGGATTCATAATCCTTAGGATTGTTGTGAAGGTTACAGAGCTAAAAAATGAGTTGCAGTATGAAATGCATCAGAACCAGGGTCACCAAGTGTGGTCAGCCCTGACTCTCTCAAGGTGAAATGAGAGACAGGAGCAGCAGCCTGGAGCAACAGACACAGCCAGGTGGATGAGAATAACTTCACCCATGAGTTAAGAGTACATTTTTAACACCTGAGATCTTTATGACTTCTTTTTGGGGGAAATTTTAAGGGGTTAATCTGTATTTTAATTTCTCTGATAGAAGTAAATTTGTTCCCCACTACTCATTTACTAAAGTCCCATTTTATGACATAAATGTATTGAAGTCATACAGGCAGCTTTTGATTAGTTCTATCAACTGAGACACTCCAACAACAATGTTTTTGACCTGTAAACGTAGTTCAACCCTCAAACTGACAATCACAGATCTGCTTGGTGTTAAGCAGATTTATAACCTTTCAGAATAATAAAGAAATTTTGACAATTGTAATAAAGAGGCCACACTCGGAGTGGGCAAGCTGGCCCAGGGCCAGGAGGATATTGTTTAAAAAAAAGAAAGATATGCAACAGATAACCTAAAATTTGAATAATCTTCCTGAGGTGTTGAAGTCAGCTTCTTAGTATTACCAGAAATGAAGATTTCCAGGCAGAGACTAAGTCCCCCAATCAATGTCAAAGGAGATACCCTCAAGAACAAATTGGAGTGGACACTGTATATCTCTTTCTCAGTTCTATCAACAACACAAGTCATTTTGTCAGATGACACCCATTGATAGGTGTGAATTGAAGTCACTGTCGAGTAAGCCGGCTATCATGTCTTCAAACAGAATGAAGAAAAAGCATATGAAAGATCCAGTCACACAAGCCCTCACATGGTGTAGATGTAGGGCCTCTAAAATCAACTTTAAACAGATACTATTTATTAAATGTTGGTCTCCAATAGAATTCACAATGGAATTCAAATGGAAATGATATTTTCCTCGGAACAGGGTCTACGTGTTGTGATTTAGAGAAAATTAAAATAAGTAAAAAAAGAATAAATGAACCAGTTATTAATGTAAGCCAAACTCATGGTTCTTAAATACCTTCTGAAAGTTTCAGAATGGCTTACGGCAGGATTCCTGATGTGCCTGGATAATTCATCCTGTGATTTGCAACAACTTCGTGTAGATGTTTATAATGCTCCTTTCAATGAATTCATGCCAAGCTGTGTTTATGATTTCTATCACCTTCCTCCCTCCACTGACCACTATTGATAATTAGAGATTTATTTTTAATCCACCATAGTACTTGGCACTGGCATCCTATTTTAGTAAAGCTCAATATTTTAAGAGAAATCTCAGACTGTTTCTTTACGGCATGTTTACACTAAGGCATAGTGTTGGGTGAGAAGACAGCCTAACCTCTAGGGAGGGAGAAAAAAATAGAGACAAGTAGAAAGCGTACTAAACTTGTAGAGTAGTCATCTTACAGTGATGTATTCTGTGTGGAACTGTTCAGTCATGCTCGGTTTTTTTAGTTGTCTGTGCAATAAAAGGGTGACAACAGATGGGTCTGATGCCAGCTTCCTAGGACTTCCAGAGGTTTTAAATAGGGGTCAAATGACACTCACCTACAACTTGGCAGGCACTCTGCTTGTATTGTGTGTGTGACCTCATTAAAACAACATAAAAGCAGGGCTGATTGTGGAAATCCAGGACATCCTTTCTGGATATACAACATGATATTTAATGAAAGTATCTTTTCTAAAACTCCCAGTTTGACACTCCTGATCTGACCAGCTCTTTTCTTTTTGTTCTGTGCACTTCACTCCTCAGTCCTCTTTTGGGTTGTTTTTTGGTATAGACTGAGGGTGTTTTTCTGCACTTACACCAACGTTCTGACTGTGCCATTGCCTGATGGGAACTGTTGGAGAAGATTCTCAGCTCCCAGAGCAGTGCTTACCCCTCGCTGTTCTGTTGCAGATGTTCCTTGCCTGTCTATCTATCACCTGTATTTCCTAGGAAAGTCAGAGTGAGAAAAGAAGGAATCACAGGCAGCATTTTGTTATGCACATACCCCATCCCAATCGAAAATACACCAGCGGACCACAATAGTCCCTAATCCTCTGTAAAGGTTGCTTCCTGCTGCCCTGGCTAGCGGGCGGGGATGTCACACGACCACTGCGCAGCTGAAACCACACCAGAGAGCCTGCCCATGTGGAGGTAGTAGGAACGGGTGAGGCCGGGCTCAGGACAACCACAGGTAGCTCCGGCCAGCTGCTGTCCCCAACGCTGTGGCCTCTATATCACTCCTGGCCCTGCCCTGCACCTGGATGTGGGGGAAGGCTGGGGAGGGAGCTGGCCTTGGGGGGCCCCACCCTCCCCCTTCTTATCCTCACCTCTTACTTTTCTTGCCACATCTGATAGGTTCTGGATGATCGAAACACACCCTCCCACTACAGCTTAATTGTACACTGAAAAGCACTGTGAGAGGCTTTTCTGCCTTACAGTGGAGGTCTGAGCCAATAATGAAAGTTACTCTTTATTTAAAAAAAAAAAAAAAGAAATCACAACCTATTCTTTAGGGCAAGGATAAGCAAACATGAGCACAGGCCCAGTCCCCGAGATTTTCTCATTCCTTATTTGTCTCTCTGCGTGAATATTCCTCCCCTAAAAGGAATTATTTTATCCCTCTACTGCAAGTGATTTTTTGTTGTTCTCAGTAGCATTACTGATACCTTTGTATGGTGACATCCCCAAGGGAGGGACTGTCTGGAGTATCTCTGCATCTGCCCTGGTCATCTGCAGAGTGGCCTGCCATCTAGGAGTTGCTTAATAGCAGTTTGTCACAAAATTATCACTTGTTACTCCTCCTCCCGTTAGGCTGTAGTGCTAAGTAAGACAGGCTGTTTCTATCCCTTACCCTTTATGGGCACTTTCCACCACGATTTGCACATAGCAGGTAAGTACTTAATAAACATTTAGTGGATTGAAGTAAAATGAAAGCAAAGGCAACCTTCCCATTTCTGACTATGGTCTGCCTAAGTGATTTCCCCTGCAGAACAGAGTAGATGGATGGAAAGCTTGGAGAGGTTAAGGCAGAGCCCAGAGGAAAGATGCTGGATGTTTTTTTTGTTTGTTTGTTTTGGCCTTGCCTGCATGGACGCTCTCATTTCCTTTCAGGATGTCAAGGAAGTATTATAAAGTAATGGCTGTAAGACACTTTGAGAAGAGTTTAAAGCATTACCCAGACATAAGGTGTTATTACTTCCTTTACACATTCCAGTGGCAAAAAATCATAATGAGCATTTAGTAAATGTTGACTAGCAGTGTTAAATACTGTTTACTCCCCAAGTCAGTAAGCTGTAATACTTGTGTAATACTTTCTCACAGGTATGAATTAGGAGCTGCTCTGTTTATTGGATGGGCAGGAGCCTCACTCTGCATAATTGGTGGTGTCATATTTTGCTTTTCAATATCTGACAACAACAAAGCACCCAGGTACGAAAGAGACATAAATTACCTGTTAAAAAGTACAATACTATTCTAAATCATTACACGTGGGACGAATTATAGGTGGTTCATGTGATTCTTAGAAACTTCAGAAACCCAGAATTGGGAAAAGTTAGGAATATATATATTTTTTCAGAAAACCTCATTATTATATTACAAAGTTATTTCTGTAAGTTAAAATATGGGTCTAAATATGAGGGCATGTGCTTCACTTTGGCCTCCTCACAACTTCCATATAAGCAGGAAGTGGATGAAGGTCCCTGCTAAGTCTCCTAGGCTCCAGGAAGAGAGGAGTTTTAAAAAATAGTTTTGAAAAGGGATCTCTGAACTGAAAAAGTCATGAATTTCTTCTGCAGAGATTCTCTTTGTTACGTTATGGCACTGAAATATTTCTCGGGTGAGAAGAGAAAAGAAAGCTTAAACAAGGGAGACTTAAACTTCGCTATTGACAGAAACTGGCAAAAACAGTTTCTTGTTTTTGTTTGCCCTGTGTGTAGAACAGAACTTACCAGAGTGTGTTTTGCCTTTCAGAATGGGATACCCATACAATGGCGCCGCATCTGTCATGTCTTCTCGGACAAAGTATGGCGGAGAGGGAGATTTTAAAACCACAAACCCTTCAAAACAGTTTGATAAAAATGCTTATGTCTAAAAGAGCTCCGCTGGCAAGCTGTATCTTGAGTTTGTTATAAAAGTGAACTGTTCACAAAATGATCCCATCAACGCCCTCCTGTAATTAACACTCAAAACTGTTTTTAAAATATCAATTTGAAGTATTTGTTGATTGTACGGATGTAAATGTTCTTACACAGTGATATACTAATCACTTTCTGTTGTGGCTTTCTATAAAAAATAAACAGGTTATTTACAGGATTTGTAATATATTTTATACATTTATAGAACATGTATTTAGTACCAAAGGTTCAAGAAGTATTCATAATATAGTTCTTTTTAACATTCATACATGAAAGTCTTCGTCCCCACTCCTTGTTTCTTTCCATTCGCTTATGAAACAGAATGTTTATAAGGAAGGGTGTCTTATTAACAGTATGGGGACAATCTGAGACCGTTCCCCAAAAGGTGTCCAGGTTAAATGGATGTTACTGGTTGCACAGAGTTGACATCCACCTAGTTTCTTAGCAATCGACTTATGGTCTGTCACGACTGCAATTCAGTATGATGGCTTGGGGAAGGGCTCATGGGGCCAAGACGTTATTGCCCTTTTCGTGGCACCTCCACCTTAAATAACTGCTTAGGCTTCTGAGGTGGGGCATCAGCAGAGCTGTGCTGGGGACACTGGTCGTGGTGATTCTGGAGCCAATAAAGGTAACACACCATACATGCCTTAACTCACTCACCCCTCACAGCCACCCTGAGGTCAGTATTTTTATCTTGCATTTACAGGGGAGAAAATTAAAGCAGAGTTTTAAATAACATGCCACAGTAGTGACAAAACCAGGACTTTGAACCGAGGCAGTCTAGAGTAAAATATATTGTTCTAAGCTGTGAATAAGAACTGGCATCTGTGTTATCTGTAAGAAACTGTCCAATATGCACCAAACGTGCGTGAATATAACATTTTCCTGAAGTGCAAAAGACTTAAAATCGCATTGTTGGCAGGTAGTCAATGGAAAGAAAAGGAAATGAACAAGTTTGTTAAATAAATCCCATACTTTGATAAACTTGAAGTATCTTTTCCAGAAATATGAATTAACTGAAAGACATAAAGGTAGGTTAGGTGCTGCAGACCACTACGGGGGACAGGGTTGTGTAGGTACGTGTTTAAAACAAAATTATTTATTCAGAGCAGAGGTGGTGAGGATGATGTTTCGATTATACTGAGGAACTGAGGGAGGGCAGGGCATGAAGGTACAGAGAAGCCACATTAGGGATCAGCAACATGTTAGCTTGGCATCCACGAGGGGCAATGTGAGATAACAGTCCAAAGAAAAAGGAGCAAACCAAATCTAGAAGAAAAGAACGTTATGCCCAAACAGATAAGTTAAAGGGGTGGCTTTTACAATACAGATGCACCGACTTAAATATTGGGTTTACTTAGTAGAAGTTCAGGGCTCCCCAAGCCTTGGTGCTCAGGAATAAGGACACAGAACTTGACAGAGATCTGGTTTAGAGCCCGCTTTTGTCACTTCCCAATTGTACAACCTTTGGCAAGTTACTAAACTCAGTTTCTCACATCTTTAGGGAGAGGATTATAACAATAACTGCATTTCCAAGTTGTTCTAGTTAAATGGACTAATGTGTGTTAAAAATAAAAACAAAACAAAACCAAGTGGCTCATGAAATATCTGTTGAATAAATGACGGAATGAACAAGGTGCTCCCTGGGCCATCTCAGGCATGGTGATTCAGCATTTTATAAAAGCTTTTGGAAAAAAAGCTTTTCGCTATGAAGTGAGTATATTTGCATAAAATGGCCCCTGTGGGAAGCTGGGAGTTATGTTATTTATTTATTAATTTTGAAAAGATGACCTGTAAGGGGATCTTAACCCCTGACTTGGTGTTGTCAGCACCACGCTCTCCCAAGTGAGCGAACCGGCCATCCCTATATAGGATCCCAACCCGTGGCCTTGGTTGTTATCAGCACCACACTCTCCCAAGTGAGCGAACCGGCCATCCCTATATAGGATCCCAACCCGTGGCCTTGGTTGTTATCAGCACCACACTCTCCCAAGTGAGCGAACCGGCCATCCCTATATAGGATCCCAACCCGTGGCCTTGGTTGTTATCAGCACCACACTCTCCCAAGTGAGCCATGGGCTGGCCCTTTGGGAGGAGTTTTTAGAGGGTGGGAATGGGCCACAAGTAATAAAAGGACCCTGGCGGGTAGAAACAGATAAAGATTCATCTGACTTTGGGTCAGGACGTTATATGGTGTAGCTACTAAGGCAAGCTTCTCTTGAGTAATCCCCTAACAAGTAGAAATTTAACTCAGAAATCATCTCTAATAACTCAGCCACAGTCACAATGATGCAGTGGAGGCTTTACTGGAAAGGTTGACAAAAGGAAGAGCGATCTACAACCCAACAAACCATTTAGTTAAAATGTTACTTTTTGGGGGAACAGTACACATGGTACCACAAAATATAAAAAATGCAAAAAACAGATTATAAGAATTTTCTGACCTTTGACAATCTCATTGTTCAAGAATATAACTAAATTAGTTTTGAGGTATTTCATAATACAGCTTGGGCATTAAAAAAAAGTTTTAAAAAACAACATACATGTATGAATTCAGTAATGACTCGATCTTCTCTATTCATATCCTGATAGTCTTAATTGGCACTTAAAATAGCTACACTTTATTCATAAAATATCCAAGATAAAGATTACAGCTGCAGAAAATAACTTTAATAGGAACATGCTTAATTACAGTGGCTCAAAGCTGAAATTGACAAAGTACTTCAGGAAATTCTATTTAACACGGGTCTAGCTATATTGTTATAATTCTAAACTTACTTCTATTGAAAAATAACCAGTCTAACTTTTAAGATTTCACTGATTCCACTAATTCAATTTTAAGGATACTAACAGACTTTTATAGTATAAACATTTCCAATGTGACAATATGCACAAGGAAGACATAAAAAAAAAAGTTCTAGTAATTCAAACCAAAACCTGCTTAAGAAAAAAATTCACTTAAAAATTAGTTGAAAAAAATACACTTAACACTAGAGTACCATTCTGAAGAGAAAACTTTTTATGACTTCCATGACATGTTATTTTTAAGCAGCAGGAGTCTTAATCACCTTTACATATTTCAAAATACTGTTAACAATTTGTTTTTCAATACTGTAGGAGGTGCCTTTAAAGAGACCCTTATTCTTTGAATCAGCTTCCTTGTTGTTGTAAGAAATACTGTAAGGCAGGAGCATGAGAACCATGTAGGCAGGTTACTGAAATACTGCTGGCTTCTGGAAGAATCTTCTGATGAGTGGAATTATATATCTGAAGAGTCACTCCAATCAGTCACAGTTACTAAGCTGCTTTTCAATGTGTTTGATTCGTTTTCTTGAAGTCCTGTGGAAGGAGAGGGAGAGAAAGCAAGAGAAGGCACCAGGGGTTAAACGAGCACCTTGTCAAGCCTGTAAAAATCTGTAATATCTGGGCTGGCCGGTTAGTTCAGCTGGTTAGAGCACTGCCTTATAACACCAAGGTCATGGATTCGGATCCCCGTACTGGCCAGCCACCAAAAAAAAAAAATTCATATTGTCATTTATCAGTGTCTGAATCATTTCACGAAGTCTCCACCCTCTAACCCCCACGAGCCATGTCGGAGGCCACTGTAAAATCTACTCTTGAACTGGCCACATCTTCAGGATGCCTCACAGGACCCCTGCATGTTCCCGGGCAGCAGGGATCGTGACCTGCAGCTCGCTCCTTCCCCAGCCCTTGGCACGGGGCCTGGATGTTGAAAGTGCTCAATACACTTACAGTGCTGTGGAGTCTAACTGAACAGATGTTGTAAAGAAAGGAGAATAAAAGCAACAAGCCAAGTAGAGATTAAGTCTAGGGTGGATGGCTTTGACAATGAAGTTAAGAAAAAGTGCCATGATTTTGAGCCAATGAAACATAGAATAGTGCAGAGAATTTGACTCAAGTTCAACTCCAGAAATGTCTTCTTTCAGGAGCTCGGGGACATGGCATTGGGGAAAGAAACAGAAGTTGTACTTGGGGCATTTGGCCCGTGTACTTATTAAGAGGTGCTGTAACGCCAACATGGTCTTTTGGTTTTGAACAGAGCTGGTCCTTAGACACAGCACAGATAATAACTTTATGATGGTTTAATCTGACAGTGTGACAGTAAAGGCACAGGAGGCGCGGCTGACCTGTTGGAGAGGGAGAAACGGCAGAGTGAGGGGTAGAGGCAGCAATGGTGCATCTTAGGAAAGGGCACGAGAGACTGGTGAGGATGGAAAGAGCAAACGTAGAGACCTACAGGTATTAATTTAAAATTACAAATAGGGATGCAACAATAGCGCAGAGGGAACACGAGAGGTGTAGTGGGTGATGACAGTGAGCCAACTCTTCATCTGTCTTAGCAGGACATCAACATTAATGTCTAAAATTGATGAATCAAGAAACAGCCGTCTACGCCCATCACTTAGAGACACGGAGGTGCCACCAGAGGGGCTGATACAGAACTGCTGAGAGGCACGGAAGGCGGCAAAGTCGGCACGTGGAAGCCCTTCACACAACTTCCCTTTCACTGGGGGCAAGAACTACTTTGACAAAAAAAGTTACAGTTTTCTAATTTTAAAATTTTAAATCTATTAAGAGTTAAGATACTGGACTTATCCAGGCTCTAGACTGGGTGAATAGGAACCATTTTAACTAATAATCTCATTTGGAATTCATCCCACTGACCACAATGCGACAATAAAAACTTCCCTTGAAATAAAATGAAAATATTTAATAGGGAAACAGACAAATATAGGGAGACTGCCAGAAGAGTGGTCTCAATTCACTTGTATGATCAGAAATTTTAATTTCTATGGGACAGCTGCATGAAGAGAATATTTGAATGGACATTTTCAAAAATAATATAAAAAACTTTTAAAGATTAGGCCTAAAGTTAAATAATAGCAAATATATACAACTCAGGAAGTTGTACATATTCAGGCCAACCCAGGCTGGCCAGCTGGCTCAATTGGTTACTGTGTGGTGCTTGATGGAGTTTGGATGTGTTGTCCCCTCCACAACTCATGTGGAAATTTGATCTCCAATGTGGCAGTGTTGGAAACTGATTGAGTCATGGGGGCGGATCCCTCATGAATGCATTAATGTTCTCCCTGGGGGAGAGGGAATAAATGAGTGAGTTCTCGCTCTATTAGTTCCCGCGAGAGCTGGTTGTTTAAAAGACCCTGGCACTTTGGTCAGCTTTAGCTCAAGTGGTTACTTCCTCAAGCCAGACTTCTCTCTGTCTAAAAGATCCTGGCACCTCCCCGCCCCCCCCCCCCCCCCCCCCCTCGCTTTTTTCTTTTTTTCTTTGTTTTTTTTTTTTTTTTTTTTTTTTTTTTTTTTTTTTTTTTTTTCCTCGCTTCCTCTCGCCATGTGATCTGCTTGTACTGGCCGGCTGCCTGCCGCTTTGCACCACGAGTAGAAGCAGCCTGAGGCCTGTGCCAGATGCAGCTGTCCAATGGTAAGCCAAATAAACCTCTATTCTTTATAAATTACCCAGTCTCAGGTATTTCTGTTATAGCAACACAAACGGACTAATACAGTGTTATAACACCAAGGTCAAGGGTTTGGATCCCTTACCAGCCAGCTGCAAAAAAAACCCCACAAAGAAACCATCAAGATCTTGATTATGCCAATAGTATGTTGTTGTTTGATGATATATTAGCATAGCTTAATTAGATATTTATAAATATGAAACACAACTAATTAGAAAAGGGACTGAGCTTCTACTAGAAACCAAAGCAACAAACCTTCTCCCTTTGGCCCTTTAGGATTAAATGTGCCCCAGGCACTTGGCACTTGTATAGATTTTGATTCATTCTTCACAAGTAGAGGTTCTCTCTGTTCTTTCCCAGTTTTTTTCCCCAAAGATTTTTCTTCCTCCAAGGATGATATGTCCCAGTCATCATCATCCACATCTGTGTGCTAAAAGAAATATATGAAGAATAATTAATGTTTCTTAAGGAAGCAGCACCCTTCAGTCATTTTGTTGGTTAGAGCAGCTGACAATGATAAGGAGTTGGGAACTACAGAGGACTCAAGGTAAATCTGGTCATTTCTATGGTGCAATGAATTGGATTTGGAATTCCATGTTTTGAAAGCTGAGGAAATCATCTCTTTTTTTGTTTTGTGCCATGGAAATATATGTTTCCTACTCTACCAATCATGAATTTAAAAAATTCCAGAAACACTACATGGTAGTGGTGTGAAAATCTAAAAGTCAGGGTGCTCCCAGAGTAGGAGCAAGGCCTGCTCTGGGCTCTTTGCTCTGCAATGACAAGAATCTAACTCCAGTTACAGTACGAGGGCCCTGAGAAATAGGCCCTCATGGACAGGAGCACATATTCCTACCCCACCCTTTCTAAAGGAGGGCATATGTGTTCTCTCTTGAGTGACACATGACTTTATCATTTTTGGCTTGTGTAACACAAATGGCACTAATAAAAGTAGTTTGACAAATGCTCTGGATTCCACAGATGAATGGGATGAGTTGAAGAAAAGAGTGACTATGACTGGAAGACCCTGTCAACACAGATGAGCTGTGCCCAGAAACACAACGGGAGGTCTCCAGCCACAGAAACCTTCTGACACCCTGGATGTTAAACTGCTTGGAAGGCATCCAGGCCTCTTCTCTGATGCAGGCGGAGGGGCTCGGGCTCTGCCCTCAACTCTGGATTCACCTATCTCTCCGCAGCATTTCTCCACTGATTCCAGCTCCCGAGTGGGACTAAGCCCTGAAAAGTCCCTATTTCACTTTCAGGCCCCTCCAGGATAGTGGAGAAGTCCCTGGACTTCTGGATCTGGAGGCCTCAGATTCTTTGTACACACCATCTGATATCTGCATAAGCATCAAATCCTACACGACAGGATTCTGAAAACCCATAAAGTGTGATGTGTGTATGACGTATGATTACCAGTTACCACTCCAGTACCTTTGATTCTCTATGAACAGAAAGAAATGCAATACTGAAAAAAAAAATAAGGTGAAATCTCAACCTTTACTATACTAACTAATCATGTCTGTTTTCTACTTCCCTACACAAAATACAATCATTAAGATGTATTTGTCAAAAGATGAATGTATGTATGTTTAGCAAGTAAAAGCAATTTCACCTTTTGTTCTTCCTGTAATTCTTCCTTTTTGATAAACATCTCAGCAACATTAATCCCACCAACTGGTTTATTCACATTTCTGTGATGTGAAACCATCTTTTCAACTTTTTCAGTTCGTGTTTTTATGGAGGTTCCTGTAGGATCAACAGAAATTAGTCAAGTAAAGTTTTTTTTTAAAAATTGAATCTATCCTTAGTTCCAAAATAAGCTATAGGCAACTTTGAAAGAGTCTAAATTTTGCCCATAATTATGTATTATTAAAATAAAATCAACTGATGTATTTTGGGGTTGACCAAAAAGTTAAACACTTATAATTCTTTTTTTTTTTTAAGAAAATCATGATTCTCCAGACTAGGAGGAGCTATAAAGTTTTCATTTTAAATCAAAGGATGATCTCATTCAAGTATGTGGTCAGAAACTTTAATTTCAGTGAAGTAACCTGTGTGAATAGAATATTCATCTGGGTATTTTCAAAAACAACATGAATCATTTTTAAACGAATTTGTTATATTTTACACATTAATATAAATACATGGTATATACAATTTATACACATTAATAACATCTGTTTAAAATATGTGATTTTTAAAGTGCATTAAGCAGAGTGTATGTGTGTGTGTGTGTGTGTGTGTGTGTGTGTGTGTGTGTGTGT